ACTCACATTTTGACAGCAATTTCTTTCAGTACTTTTCACTAATAATACATTTTCCTTCATCTCTTTCACTTCATTCAGTTAAATAAAATGTGTCTAAGGTCACACACATCTAGACTTAGTCCAATTCATATATGCATAATAAAATACATTTCATCATTCAAGAACAGTAAAAAAATCTTCATCAATCTTATACAATCTTATACAAACAACCAAAGTTCTCATATAAGCATATATTTATAAGACAAGAAACACATTGTCATACAAATCAATACCATTCGTCAAAGGTTAGACATCTTCAGACTTAAACCAATCGTATAATTTAGAAATATATTGTAGGAGATCACACTCTCCTAATCTTAATAAAAATCATCTAACTTAAAGTTTAGCATCTTCTACTTGTCATATTTCAAAATACATATTGTTCAATAATAATAATAATAATTTATAACATTAACAATATATTAAATAACAATGAATAACAAAATCATAAAACTTCTTTAAACCAACTATAGGTTTTTCATACCCAAAATCAAAATTTTTCAACATTATGACTTCAAGAAAACCTTATAGATTTATTATTTAAAACAAGGTTGTTTGAGTTTTTCAAATCAAATATATAATTAGGACTTAGGGGGGATCAACTCTCCTTACCTGAAAATAAGCCTCTCATAACAAAAAGACGAGAGATGTGTCTCTAAAATCAAGACCTTCTTGAGATCCAAAGAAAATGTGCAACATTTTTTATGGAAGATATTGTCCAAAGGACCAAGGTTCTTCTTAAGCATTAAAAGTAGAACAACTTTTGAGTAGAAGGAAAATAATGAAAAAGAAGTGAGATGGGAAGATTAAACTCTCATAACTTACTTGGAATCAAGAGGAAATGATATTCAAGCTTGAATTTGAGAGCAGTTTTGAAGTTTAAAAGGTGTTTTAACTGGGGAAGAGAGTGAGAAAAAAAAAAAAAGGGATAACAATGATTACTTGCTTTGAAATCTATGTTTTTGAAGTGCCATAATCACTTTAATACTATTTTTTCTCGTGGATTCTTTCTTGAGCGAAAAAATCAAATAAACTTTATTACTTTTTTGCTAATATTTTCGCTTGAGCGAAAATCTACTAGAGGGCTACTCATTTCTGTTGCCCATTTTCTGTTGAGCGAAAAATTTCTTGCTTGAGTGAAAGTACAAAGCAAAAGTCTACAAGAGAACTACTCATTTCTGTTGTCCATTTTTGCTTGAGTGACAGATTTCTCTCTTGAGTGAAAGTACAAATGAGAAATTCTTATCCATTTTCGCTTGAGCTAAAAGAAATTTTTCTTTTTTTTAGGAAACTCTTCCATTTTGAAAATAAAAAAAAATATAATTAAAAATTAAGGTGTAACAACCAATCTCATTAGAGCGAGACATATCTCGCTTGAGCGAGATCTCCTGTAGTTTTTAAAATTTAAATTCTTCAATTTCATAAATATTAAAATTAGTCACTTTATAAATGATATTTATGTTATTTTACATTTTATAATTTACACTTTATGTTTTAAAAAATAGTTATTTAAAAAAATTGAAAAAAACAAATTTTTCAATGAAGTAAAACACTAAAATTGTTAATTTTGTCATATTTTTAATTAAAAAAATTATATACTATTTTTTATGTTATTAAATTATGGTAGTATAATTTAATTATTATAGAGTTTATATGGCAAATAATTTTTTAAATTTATTAAAAGTATATTTATATATAAAATAGATAAATAAATTTATTTTTATTATTTATTGATAATATTCATATTTTATTTTTTAAATTTTAATTTATTTATAATGTTATCTCATACAATGCATGAGTCAAAGTTATAGTCCATTTAAAAAGTCTAACATAAGTTGAGTATTAAATGATATATATATATATATATATATATATATTTATCTGAAAAATTATTTATTGTATAAATATATATTTTATGTAGAAATTATAGAAATTTTTTTTATTATATCATGTATCAAATTTATTTTATTTAAAATATTAAAAAATTATACATCATTTAAGCAAAAACTGATATATTTACATTATTAACACATTTTTTTTTTTAATTTGAGGAATTAAATTTTTGTGTCTACTATTATAAAATAAATATAATAAATAATTATTGTAAAGATTTATTGTTACAAAAATATTATAAAATTGATTCAATAGAACGATGTGTCTAATATTTAATATTAATTAAATATTAATTATTTTTAACCATATTAAATCAAGTTTTTAAATTTTCATATGCTTAAAATAATTTGTAGTTTAAAATTTAGATAGTTTTAATTTTTTTTATATTTTTTATAAATAATATATTTTTTTAAAAATTAATATTAAATTATATCACTTGTCATATGCACGAGGCCAATATATATATATATATATATATATATATATATATATATATATATATATATATATATATATATATATATCGCAGACAGAGTATTTTTTATGAACAAATTTTATTCAATTTTAATTTAATTAATTTTACTCTACTCTACTAAAATTTGCATTATCATTACTTGAATTTTAAAAATATAAATCATATTAAAAATATGATTTATATGTTTAGAAAAAATATTTTTAAATATTAATGAGAAAATTACAAAAAGAATTTTTTATATTTTAAATATATGTTGTGTAAAATAAAAATCTGTATTAAAATTTATTAAAAATAAAAAATTAATAGTTGTGAAATATTATATATGTTAAAAAAGTATTGTGTCATTTAATAGTATTATACATTATATTACATTAATTTATATAATTTCTTGCACAATATTGCCCAAGTTAATATATATAGCGGGCGAATCCTGCATTTTTTTTTGACAATCAATATCTTGATAAGCATTAATTATGTAGGACTGTCAGCAATATGACTCTAAAATATGTTTAATTTAAAATTTAAAATTTGTAACCTTGTTGACAAAATTTTAAACGAATTTGATATAAAAAATATATATATAAAGGACTAAAATCTTAATAATTTAATCTAGCCTGTCTTGTATTAATTTTTAACAAAATAAAAGTAACTCCTAAATTAAGAAAAAAAATGTTTTTCTTTTAAACCGAACAACTTTTGAAATAAATCACAGGCACTGCAGAAAAGTATGGTACAACGGTTAGAAAGCATGGTATAACGGATATATTTTGTTTATCCCAAAAAACTGATTATTGAAATTTACTCCAAAATTAATTTAGGCTAAGTGTATCGATGCATTAATAAAAGTAGTTTAAAATCAATATCTCGGTGACCAATAATTGTGTCAAACTGTCAGTAATATGATTCTAAAAGCATATTTGATTTGAAATTTGAACATTGTGAAGTTGTTGACAAAATTTTAGTTTTTTTTTTAAATGAATTTTATATTCAAAGAAAATATATAGGACTAAAATTTTAATAATTTAATCTAACTTTTTATTAATTTTCAACAAAGTAAAAATAACTTCAGAATTATCGTTAAAAATGCTTCTCCTTAAAATCGAACAACTCTGAAAATAAATCACGGACGCTACAGAATAGTATGGCACAACGGATATATTGTTTTGTAAAACTGATTATTGAAATTTGCTCCAAAAATAGTTTAGACTAAAATTTGGGGTATGAGTTAAGTGACGATATAAAATTCTTTATATGTATATTTATATTTATTGTTAAGCAAAAGTGTATAAATAATTAAGCTAAGGCAATTTGTTGGAGTTAATATTGTCATTAATTGACTCGGTAAGGAACCTGTGCATGGTGTCCAGGTGGAGTCGGAAGCGAGCGTGGGAATCCACACATGACCTCATATATGAAGCAAAGTGTTTAAGCAAAGAAACAGCAAAAGCAGGAATTATACTCTGCAGCGCACTCCACAGCAGCAAAAGAGAAAACAATCACGTGGCTGAGAACCCATCCCCTTCATCAGATTTAAAATGAGCATGCATGTCACAGCCCATGCCACTTGGCTACGTTTGTATGAAGAGGTGCAACATGCAATACAACACCACAGTAGTAGAACCAAGCTCCAAATAGCTAGCTGTTTTTTGTTTGTGTCTCTCCGGTGCACCCCAGTTTTGAACTTTGAAATACAAAGGAAAACACCCACTCTCATCCTATTCATCTACTCCTCCTAAAGTTAAGTAATAGAGAGAGAGAGAAAGGGTTTTATTTTAAGATGAAAGAAAGAGGGAGAGTCCAATACAAAGCCAAAAACACCATTGATTTCTGTTGTAGGTTTCAGAACTTTTGCAACACCTGTAGCTTATTCTCAGCCTCCATGTTTCCTATGTCTCCACCATCCATCCGTCACTCACTCTTTGGTCATTCTCTAACCACCACCACCACACCAACCCCTATGCACAATCCAACCCATTCCCCTTAACCCTGGTTTGTGCACACTCCCTATTCTCTATTCACAGACAGCCACATTATCCTCATTATTCACTCCCTCATCTCATCTCTCTCTGTCCACATTATTGTAAGCAGCTAGGAAGCAGGGAAAGTGCCAAAACAAAACCAACCATGAATCCCCCCTTCCCATTTGGTCACCAAACTGATTAACCCATTACCCATAACCCATAAAAAGAGAGAGTGTGTGTGAATTATTCATTTATATTAGTATTATTATGGTAAAAGTAAAAGCTTGCAAAGGGAGAGGATGGGAAGGGGCGTGAATGCAGGATGCACAAATGTCATAAAATCCAGTCCCTGTAATCACAAAAAACCTTGCTAAAAATAGAAAAAATCCAAACAAAAAAAGAAATAGAGAGAGAAAGAGAGAGGAGTAAAAGGGAGTCCACCATTGATCTCTTCAACACCAAACCCCACACCCATTTCGTGATTGCCGAGCGTCGCGTCGTCCATACCCTCATCTATCTATATCTGCCTGCACACACACTGAGACTGAGAGAAAGAGAACCAACTACTACAGTCACAGAAAACCAAAAGCACTGTGTGAGAAAAAAGAAAAAAGAAAGAAAACCCTAAGCTAATGATGATGGATCAGCGACAGCGAGAGAAGCTGCTTCAGAAAACCGAGGCCTGTGGTTTGGTGGCAGGTGTTGGGGCCGAGCTTGGACTTGTCACCGTTTCAGGAGACAAGAAGAAGATCATTCATGGGTCGGGTCCGATCCACCATGATCTTGTTGCTGCTGTTACCACCTTCGCAAATGTTCAAAGGAAGAAAAGAATGCCACGCCAAAGAAGATCCACCACCACCATCAACAACAACCACAACTCCTCTAAGCACAGGCTTCGTTTTCCACCTCTTGCTCCTTCTGTTTCCTCTCACGTGCCACTCTCCTCGCTCCCTTCTAGTAAACCCTCCACTACTCCCCCAGCCGTACGTGTGAGTTATCCTTTCTTTCTTTTTTTCCTCTCCAAAGTGAAGATCTCATGTTATATATAGCTACCCAGCTTGATTCTGAATCCGGTCATTGCTATATCTTTGGTTGTTGTCTTAACCCTCAATTTTCTGTTTTTGTATTTCCTTTTTGGGTGTCTAATTTTTTGGATCTTATAAATTTAGCTGTTTAGTTTTCCAATATCTGTCCTAGTTGGATTTGTATACTGCATCTTGCGATTTTCTTTTGATGCTTGTGTTTCTTTGTCTCGTGATTCTCACACTTATTTAAATTAGGGTTTTTAACGATAATCTTTTCTGATGCTAAATAGATAGTAGCTCTTTAATATACTGGAGCTTAATTTGATTGTTTGATCTCCAATTTTGGAACTGCTATGTGGGAGCAATGATAATGAAGGGTAAAAGTGGCACTCTGGTCAAGAATGGCAATTTTTTATATTAAATTCTCCACCGAAAAAAGAGTAAAAGGAAATGGAATATGTGAAGAGCTATATTTAGAAGAGAATCGCTTTTGAAAACATTTTAAAAATAAAAATAAGATGAAGGGGAAGGCATGGGCTACTATATATATAAATATTTTTTGTTACTAAGTTGCGTATTAAACGAAGTCGTTAAACACAAGTTAGACATATTTTTATTTCCTAGCTTACGAATCTTAAAGTGGCCTCGTGTCAGATTGTGCAACCGAAAACTATATACAAACACAAAAAGGGGCATACTTTTATCGCGCTGCTAAAAGGAGCATGATCTATCAGTACGGAATTAGCCTCATGGATATATCACTGGGAAGTGATCAAAAGAAATTTTAATCATGTGATGTTTATATGCAGTTGTTTGTGAGATAATGTTTATGTGAACTAACCTAAGTTTCCGTTTTAATTGTAAACTCTGGAATAGATTATTTTACAGTGAAAATGCTTTGTAGACCTCTATGTATGTTCAAGCAATAGTACTGTCTTATTCACTTTATTTGTGACCTAATCCTTTTTGTTTTACTTAATCGGGGTGGGGAGGAGTTACAGGAAAAGAGTTGAATTTTGGTTTTTAATTGCAAAATTGTCAAAATTGTATACAAGGTTACTCTTATTGAATTACCTCTAATATTAATTAATGTCTCAACCTTGGAAGCCGAAAAATCCTAATTTTTGTTCCCGAAATCTTTGGTGTAGTGTAGAAATTATAAAAGAAAAAATTGATGATTAGTGGTAAATTGACGGCTCCATATTTGGGAATATGTGTATTTCAAGACAGCCATAAGGCATGCTGGACAATGTTTCGGGTATTCTGCCACTATTAGTATTGATTTAATGTCCTTATGCCGGACATGGTGGCGATGATGTCCTAGTTACACAAAATTTGTATGTTTGACATAATTCGTTATATTTTGCTCCACCTTTTAGTGGCATTTACGTGAATACGTTAGTTCCATTTGTTTTCATATGGGATTGATAACAAAAATAAACTAATTTAATTTTTTTCTTTAGGAAATTGATCATAAAAGGTTGAGATTTCTTTTCCAAAAGGAGTTAAAGAACAGTGATGTTAGCTCCCTCAGGAGAATGATATTGCCAAAGGTAAATAACTCTTTCCGTTATTAAATATCTTCTCTTAAACAACATCAGTAAAATTTGTTCTCAACTTAATTTATATTCTATTAATATGAGCCTATTAGAATTAATGAAATATTTGGATGACAAATTATAACTTGCAGAAAGCAGCAGAGGCTTTCCTTCCTGCCCTTGAATCAAAAGAAGGAATTCTGATCAACATGGATGATCTAGATGGTCATCATGTATGGAGTTTCAAGTACAGGTCTGCCATGTATATGGTTGGTTTATTTGGATTCACAAAATAAACTAAAATGAAATTAAACAGTCACATTCTTTTACTCAGAAAAAATGATATTGGTCAAATATACAATTTAATGCTTTATTATTTAATTGATACTAACAATTCAAATTTATAGGTAATGTATTTGTATTTGAATAATGCAGGTTTTGGCCTAACAACAATAGTCGGATGTATGTACTTGAAAATACTGGTATATATCTCCTTAATTTACTGAAACTGCTTCTCTAATTATTGGAAAGCATAAAAATTTGGTTATGAAATAACCTTAAGCTGAATATTTTCAGGAGACTTTGTTAAAGCACATGGCCTACGCTTTGGAGATTCCATTATGGTTTACCAAGATAGTCAAAACCATAATTATGTACGCGGAGCCAGAAAGCTAATTTTGTAGAGCAGTTTCCATTTTAATTTTAAAATTCCTTTTTCTTTTTTTTTTCATACATTGCGTTAAACTTTTCAAAATACACTTTCTTAATCCTATGCACGTCATGTGTTGTAGGTTATTCAGGCCAAAAAGGCTTCAGATCAGGATGAATTTATGGAGGAAACTAGTGATGCCATCAACGATATCTTCCTTAATGATTATGAGGTGAACAAACCTGGTTGCTTCAATGTAACCTACCCAGCAGTGAATGATACAGGCATGTCATTCATATATGAGACTACTTTTTCAAATGATTCCCCACTTGATTTTTTGGGTGGATCAATGACCAATTATTCAAGGATTGGACCAGTTGAAACCTTTGGTTCCGTTGAGAATTTGTCACTTGATGACTTCTATTAAGGTCATGATCATATAAGGAGAAACTAACATGGTACCAAGGCTAGTACTGTTGAATATGTTTTTCTTCATTTTGGTACTAAAAACATATAAAAGTGTGCTTTCTTTTTTGGGTTGTTGTCATGACCATGAGAGGATTTGTGTAGAATAAAAGAGTAGACAGTGGACATGTTCTGTGTTCCTCTCTCTTGAACAAGTGGGACTGCTCTATTTTGCTTATAATCTTTGTTGAACAACATCTATATAAATGATTTTGAATGTGTTTCACTATAAATCATATATATTATGCAAGTAAATCATGTAAGAGGAAATTGTTGCTGGACATGTTTTGTGTATTCGATTTCCCTGAGCATAATATATTATAGTTGTCCTTGCTACCAAACAGACTCATAAGAACTTAAGGATAAAATTGATAGACACATAAATTTAAAAACAAAAGTGAGTATTCATTATTTTTTTTATTGTTCATGTTTTTGTTGTTTACATATTATAGTAGCTATTTATGTGACTAGGAATTCGTAAATTCTTTGACTCTTGTGAAATTTATTGATTTTATTATTTTTTTTATGGTTTCTTTTACTTTTAGTATTTTTCATCCATAATCTAGGAATACATATAAAAAAATTGCCTTTAGTGGAAGCAATTGATGTAAAGTTCATCCATAATTTCAGGTTACAATGTATTGGTACTTTCATTTTTTATGAAGGAAATCATAGATTTTAGGTAATGATTATAGCATTTTTGCAAGCAATAGATGAGTATTTTAAAGAAAGTAAGAAGTTGTATGAGTAGTTAAATACAACCACGCAACTGTTAATATTATTCATAATTAATACTCTTGCACACAAATTGATATATTCTTATTATTCTTACACTTTTTGAAGTTGTGACATACCTAATCACATAGTATTCACCATTTTTACAACGAAATAACATACATTGGCATTGCTCAATCTTGAAAAAAACTATTGAATTTAATAACCTATATACTTTTAATATAGCAAATTTAATAAATTTGTATTGTATAAATTTTAATATTATATAAATTTTAATAAGAACTGCTAATTTACTCAATAAGTTTTTTATTTAATGTGTATTTTGTAAAGCTTATGGTGCATTAACTTCATTGTACATCACATGGTGAAAGATGATAAGTCTTCAAATTTCTATTTTATTAAAGCAAATGACTTTAAAATGTATACAAAAAATACTACATAAAATAATTTTAATCAAGAATGTGCATTTTAAAGATTAATTACCATTTTTTTTACATTATTTGCGCCTGAAAATGGTGTGGTTGGTGCGCAAGAAGTCCACTAATAGAATATGGATTAAACAACTCAAACAAACCTCAACTTTACTTGAGTCTGTGTAGGTTTTTGGTTATTTAGAATTTGGCTCTAAATTCTAATTAATTTTGATTTTTTACACGAATATATCTGTTTCGATTTCACTTAAATTGGTTGCTAAATTGTTTTATAATATAGTTTGGCATTTTATTTAATTAGAATGGGAAGATTCAATTTATGATATGCTCCCACTTTTTATTTTATTAAAGAAAGATTCAAATATGAGAGGAGTCAGTGCAAGTTGCTTATCTATTCTTTTTGTCGAAGTTCCTTCATTTCTTAAAGATATCATTTCATATATTATGATGGAGGCCTTCTTCATATGGCAAGTTCAGTTACCTTTTAGCCCCTCAGTTACTTGAAATGCTTGCAATGGATGACAATTTCAGAATTATGAAAGAAATGACAAGGTATCTGCTATGCCCTTTGCATTTCTCTCTCATTTTCGTAAGTTATCTATGTATAAATTAGGGAAGTTATTCATTGAGTATTATTGACAAATTATACATGAGTGTTCTTATCGCAGTATTGTTTCATTATAGTTACCATGTAGTTTTCGCAAATAATTAAATTGTTCATAATGAATGTATAATGCCATATTATCATCTAACGAAAGGTTATACAACTATGATGCAATAGATTTTCCACATGAGCGATGGGTACTCCGGTGACATTGAGAAGGAAGTTATGTTCATTGAGTTTGAAGAAAAAGAGGATATTGACATTCGTGTGTTAAAAGTGGTAAAAAAATAAGTCTGATCACTCTGATGCGATTATTATTAATATAAAGGAAGTCAATATTTTCATGAAGTGTGCATTTATCCAAATTTTATTTGTTTCAATACATTAAAGTGACAAATTTATTATATTGTAAAATATTATAATAAACATACCTTGTTTTGAAAATAAATTTATTTTATTTTATTTGTTTCACCTCCATTCATTGTTTCTTCTGCTATGATTTTATCCCTTTTTTTGTTAGAGAACACAGGTTTGTAGCAGTAAAGATTACCTTTTTTGTTTTTTTTAATTCATTCCTCTATTATTTTATGTCTTTATTGCAATTTTTGTGTCAATTAATTTATATATTTTTTGTCATGTTAAGTTTTAGTTTTCAATATATTTTTAAAAATAAAAATTGACATTAACATAGAGAATGAATTTCAGAAGAAAACAATCAAGTTGGTGTCTCAATGATAAAAAAAACAATCAATATTTCTTTTTAATTAATGTGTGAGCCTATTTTGACCATGATAAGCAAAACAATATAGATTTATGTTTGTGTTTTTATTTTATTTTTACAAATTTATAATATTGTGAAGTATATAATAAACATACTTTGTTTTGAAAATAAATCTAATTTATTTTAGTTGTTTCATCTCCATTCATTGTTTCATTTGGTATGATTTTATTTTTTTTTAGATAACACGAGTTTGTAGTGATAAAGATTAGCTATTCTTTGTCATTTTAATCAGTTTATATATTCTTTGTCATGTTAAATTTTAGTTTTCAATATATTTTTTAAATAATACATACATGATAATTAGGAGATTGGAGTAGTCCTCCATCCTTCCATTTAAAGCAAAACTAAAAATAAAGATTGACATTAACAAAGAGAATGAATATTAATTAAGAGATTGGAGTAGTCCTTCGTCCTTACGAAGAGAATGAATATAAATTAGGAGATTGGAATAGTCCTCCGTCCTTCCATTTAAAACAAAAGTTAAAATAAAGACTGACATTAACAAAGAGAATGAATATTAAAAGGAAACAATCAATTTGCTATCTCAGTTATTAAAAAAAAAATCAATATTGCTTTTTAAATAATGTGTGAGCCTGATAAGTAAAATAATGTTGACTTGTGCTTTTTTATTTTTATTGTTAATTTTAAGACAAGTTCATTGTGTGGGAGTTGAATGCAGAAAATATATTTAAATTTTTCTTTTAATTGACTTTTGTAACATCTTGTTTTTATATCTATTGTTATGGCACTATATGTTGGTTGTATGTGTAAAATTATTTGAATTTAAGAGTTTAAATGATATAATTTACAAGGTATATCGCTATAGCGAGATATATTTTACTTTAGCAAAAAAGAGCATCTAAAATTAGGCTTTTTGAAGATCTTCGTTGTAGTGAGGAGTAGATAAGGATGACCCATCAACATTCTCATCGTAACATGATTCTTGCTATAACGAGAGATTCTCTCGCTGTAGCGAGGAGCTTTCGTTATAGCTAGAATGACAGGCAATAAAAGAAAAAGATTATTCAATTTTTTCATTGAAACTAGAGAAGGTTGTAGCGAGAGATAGCTCGATATAGCGAGAATATTGTGAGTAAAGAAGTATCTAAGGGTTTTTAACCTAGAAAACTTGGATTACAATCCAAGTCTCAACCTTTCCTCCATTCTCTTTAATCTCTCCTCTCTTTTCTAAGAAAACATTCCCTAAACTTCAATCTTCCTTCGAATATGGGCTTGGAGCTTAGTTTTCCCATTTTTGTTAGTTTTCTCTGTTTCTTACCTCTCAAAATGCTTTCGTTTATGATACTTAGGAAAAGCTTAATTCTTTTACAAAAATCCTTTGCAAATCTCTTTTCAAAACTTCATTTCAAGATAAGGAGAGCTCTATTTTGTCATTTTAAGCATAATGAACATTTTGTACTCATGAGAGTATCTTTGTATTTTTTTTGTATGTAAAAATATGATTGAATGATATGTAGCCATGTAGGTATTGTGAAAAGTCATAATAATGTATATTTAGTTGATTTGGAATGATTGTACTGTATATTTGTTGTATATGATAAGGACTTCCGGAAATGTCTTGATCAAGTATGATTCTTTAATTGAATGATATTGGATTGTGGTGAAAGGTTAACAAAGTATGTTTGACTACTCTTGGGTGTTAGTACTATATTCGCATAGTATACGTATTTTAGACTTAGCCCGGAAGTGCTTTACTAATCACGATCTTTTACCTGAATAATAAGTTTGACATGAAAAAGAGTATGGAATGACTTCAAAGTGATGAAAGGAACTAGTGTGAATAGTTACATAGATACATTAGGGGTATAGAGTCTAGAGACGATGAGAAATCTAGGAGAAACGTAGGATAGTGAGGGATATTTGCATATGTGTATATACTCTTTCTGAGAGCGAATGCATCATAAGGCTTCACACTTGTTTCCTAACGAGACTCCTGACTATACCTTTGCTAAGGGGCCCATTATTGTATACATTTTATCTTTGTGCATAGGCTAACCTGCAACTATTTATCTAGCTGTGTAAGATCATCAAGAAGTGCAGGTATCGAATGTATGTAATCACAGTGTACTAAGAATGCGTATTTGGATAAAGAGCGTGATAGAGTATGTACATGATTGTGTAAGAGTTGTGTATATATTGCTTCTGTGATTAATATGGTTATGTTTTCTTTTATTCTATAATTACAAGTATGATGTGTGTTAATAATGTAATTTTATTATGTTTAATGATAAGATATATGCTCATCCTTACTAAATATTTTAGGGAATAAGGATGACGGCACCACAAAGACAAATTAGATTAGTATATTATCTTGTTAGTGGGAGAATGAACTATGAATTTAGGAAGTATCATCATTTTGTGTATTTTAACTTTAATATGGATTGTAAGGG